AGATAATGTACGTAGCTCAACTCCTGAGCATCTTCAGTGCATCTTCAACAGCGACTTTGCGTCTTTACACACACACACTCGAGAAATGCGTACTGAATTGAAAGCCATTTGCCACACAGCAACCTAGGTGAAAACGTTCCTGAGTATAGCATGTAAGGGGGTCTGAGCATCCTGGAGGTCATCGTTGAAAGGGGGGAGGCCCAGATTGTTTAAAGTCTCAAAGTCCAACGTCGGAAGCTGCGAAGCAACAAGGTGACGACGAGCCCTAAAACATCTGCAGAACTGACAGTCAGACTAGAAATTAGTACTTTACAGGAGAGTAGAGTCACAGCTTGGTCAACAGCTTGAAGAAGAAAGTGGTCACCAGCTGCGACTTACAATGTGCCCAGGTGCCCCACAGCAGTTACGTTTTCCCGATCATCCAGAGTGGAGCTTCGTTGGCAGAGGCCACAACTGGAGATCCTTCTACCCGCTGCTTGTAAGTAAACCAAAAGGTTCCCTTTGACTCCAAGGGTTTCACACACACACACACACACACCCACGCACGCACGCACGCACGCACCGTGCCTAGAAAATGACTGACAGTGATCCCCTTCCCCCAGCAGGATTTGCTTTCGCGGTCCACCAGTTGTTCGGGAAATCATGCCAATTTCTTTCCATCGGCCCTTGTTTTGGGGAAAGAAGGACACTTACTCCAGATGGACTCTAAATGACTCCAGTATCCATCAGTATCCCAAGCCGTACACCTCGACCACGGATGCACCCGCGGACACCTCGATGATCCTTCGACCCGTTTCGCTCGCTGCCGCAGGAGCTTCGCCGCTGTGGCCAGGGTTGTACACGTGCCTCGGCGCGGAAAAGGACGAAATGAGTTTCCGTGCAAGTTTGTTTGACTCTAAGAAACTGGAGAATGGGAACCACGGACCCCCCTAGCAGCCCTAGCATTCAAGAAGGACATTGTTCCAAGACATCGCAACATTTCAACAACATTTCAGTGATATCAAGCGCTTCTTGATGGCGCCTCGAGATCGGTGCGACAAAGACTTGAAGAATTGGGGTAAATTCCTAGATCGCTCTTCAGCATCACCTGTGGGGTATTATAAAGAATTTTCATAATCACGAAAGGTAGCCCTTTAGGGGATACCTTGAGTTTGTCTTGCGAAGCAAGTGTTGGGACGTCCAGGTCTAATAATTGATCGCTCAATTCAGACCCCCCCCCACCCCCCCCCCCTTCGAATTGCTTTTTAAAACGTTCCCCCCCCCCCCTCACCCCCTCTAAAATCAATTCTCTCCTGGAGATCGTCTTCGTGAGCCTCTCATGATTTCAGGATAGTTGAAACCCTCTTGAACATTCAGAAAGAGTGAATATGAAATTCTAATCACGAAAGGTGTTCCCCGAGGGGATACATACCTAGAGTTTGTTTTGTGAAGCACGTCAATTCTCTCCTGGGGAGCGTCTTCGTGAGCCTCTTATGGTTTCAGGATAGTTCAATTCCTATGATGTTCCGATTCAATGCTCACCGATGATCTGAGCCATGGGGCAAGTTTGTTTTCCTAAGAATCTTTTTGAACATTTCGAGAGCACATGTTTGAACATTTAAAGTGCATAATATGAACATATATTTACGAAAGGTCGCCTCCGAGGGGATAAATTACCATGTCGAACATTGCATTTTTGTTCCTGCCTCTCGCGTTCTCTTCTCTTCCCGCTGTCCTACCTTTCGTGTCTCCCTCCTCTCAAGTTGAAGTACAGTACGGTACTAGCAGCTAGATGCATCTATAAGAGAGCCCCATGAGAGCCCCCCTGGTTTCTTTTCCCGAGCGACTGAACACATTGTGCAAGTCTTTGGATGTTTCGCCACTTCTTCGATATGTCCATCGCCGGCCGATCCGTTGACCAAGGGGAGAACGGCGAGGTGTTGCTTTCCGTGATCTCCTTAATACTGATGCTCGGTACTACGAAGCGTGAAGATGTCCCTTCTAGCTACTAGTAGCGATGCCCTTGTTACTAGTAGTTTCTTGTTCCTAGTGGTAATGCCAGGAGCTACTAGTAGCGTCCTGGAATCCTTCTGCAGAATCCCGTTGCATCTGAGGAATCCTTCTTTTTGTTGGCTTCAGACTGTTTTGGCCTTTCCCTTTGGCGTGGCCTGGTTCAGCCCCGGGAACCCCACAGCCAGATATGCAGTCTGGGCCTTAGTGAGGTGCAAGCCGCCGGCAAAATGGAAAACGCTTGGCCAGGTTCTTCTAAGTTGACAAGACTATACTATATAAATATTATGATTTGTTCAGTGACTTTTTTGCCAGCCCAAGAGCTCAAGTGATGGTGTCAAGGGCGGTCACATTGAAGAACCTAGTGAATGATTGCATGCACCACTTATAGCTTGCACATGCCGTCACCATTAGAGACTAGTTTGTCTCTTTAACATGATCCAACGTAAACCTCTCTTGCATAGTCTCAAAACTTACGCAGTTCTATGCAGCAGCCAAATTGAATAGTGAACATGAATGAACAACAGTGAACAAGAAAGAATGCTCAACACTAAAAAGGGCTTGGGCCCAGAATACAATCCAGTTCCTCCAATCCCCACTGGACAGACCGTGCAACGCACCCCCAAAAAACGACCCACGACTCACGGCCGCGACCCTTCACCTCCCGAGGTGGTCATCACCTCGGTGTCGATCGGCCTTCCAGCCGCCCTTTATGCATGGCTGCGGCTCCTCTGTAAGGGTCCCATGCATCGGGACTACCTTTGCCCCTTCGAGGCCGACAGCATGGGAGACAGACAGAAGGAGAGACAGAACTCCGGGAGTGACTCCGGGAGGACTGACTTCGCCGTTTTGGGATGTATGAAGAAAGAGCTTCTTGTTAGCTAGTAGCAAGAATGCTACTAGTAAGTAGTGTCCTTGCTCCTAGTAGCAAAGCTAGGAGCCCCCAGGTTGAAAAAAGAGGTCCAGCTTTTGTCCGCTGTTTGTTGGCTCTTCGAGCCGGTGGCTTTGCGGGGGTGTAGGAGGATGTCCAGGAACGGTTTCTGGTGTAAATGTAAAGGAAAGTAACCATCCTGGCCCATCTTTCCGGAGAACCTGGTTTCCCGATATGTTTTGACATTCAACCTCGGGGTGATTGAGCCCACTGACTGATATTGTTCATTCATATACTAATATAGAGTTTGCCGTTGTTGTTTGCTCACCATACTAACATGCACACCTATATATAATACTGAACTTATTATCTAGCCATCACCATCTTGTAGAAACAGTTTCCTATTAACTGTCATCACGATTTTCCTTCTTCATCTATCTTTAAGATCATGGACCGATCGATCCAAACACCGCCCCGTCCGGTGTCGGGCGAAGCAGGACGCGTTTCGCATGCATGCGGGTTGGTTTGGAGCCTTAGCCTTTCTCCTCTACTCCGCCTTTAGTGCCTCGGTGCCGGAAAACTTTCATGTGTTCGCCAGCTAAGAGAATTCCAAGAATTTGTTGGATTCCTCCTGGACAAAAAATCATGTGAGCTTCGCTGTTTACCTGTTGATCTTTTCGGACGCTGGCTTGCAGGCTGCAATCTCCTGAAGTCGTCCAAGAACACCTGACCTTAGATCACTGGAAATCCCAAGTATGGCATTTGCGTAACTGGTGCTTGGACAATCCATCAAACCATGACTGAAAAAATCTACAAAATCTTGCCAAAAGTCGCACAACTCAATCAAGACCACGCAAACGTCCGCAAATCCGGGAAAAGTCGTAGAGCAGTCTTGTCCAGATAATGGAATCTAAGTGGGTCTCTTCCCAAAAAACGATGAAAACCACTGCATCACAAACAAGCTAAGACTACTATAAACCTCGAATCGTCCGAAACATCTCGCATGTCCGGTCCGTCCGGGTGTCTCAGACAGACGAGACGTGTCCGGTTTCGTGTCCACATTGCAACCAAAAGACTCAGAGTCAGTGCCCACAAAAAAACAAAGGGATATGACATTGGAAATGGAGTTTCAAATAGGCAAGCAATAAGTACAAGTGTTCAGTATCCGTAGTATTCTTGCTTGAGATTCTTTGGTGTTGAAGCGAAAACACAAATACCATCGCTCAGAACAGCACTCACGACAGGTGGCCATACAATTTGCCGCAAGTAAAAGCCGGTTTCTGTGTGTTTTTCCTGTCTTCCACTTGGCCGAGGCGTTTATGCGCAACAGACCTGGCTCTCCCACAAGAAACGTGACCCCGTGGCAGCCAACGTTGTTGTTTGGGTCGTTTGGAGCATTTGGTCGCGGCCTCAGTGAACAACGCTTGGAACGACGTGGAGTACGTGGAGTATAATCCGAATCCATGTGTGATGTGAGCCACAACTGGTCAACACCCACAGATCTCCCATCAAACGGTGCAAGGAGCATCGTGTTTATGGGAGGGCAACCCTTCTGTTCACTATATAGTTCCCAGTTGAAACTAGGCAAGATGCCCCGCAGTGTTCAGATCAACCCCAGAAGGCGAACAGAAGCATCTCTAATCACCGCGTGCGGCACGGCACACCGACACCTGCCTGCGTCCAGACATGTCCAGACCACCCAGACAGCCAGACCACACCACACCACGGTCTTTCCGCCCACGCAAACAGCGGTCGCGATGTCCCAGGTCCTTCCTGGTGGCCAGCTACGCGCTTTATGCCAATGGCATCACGCTCTGGGTCTACAGCCATACCTGGCGAAACCGCCACGGACGGCTGCATATTGGCGGCGAAGCGGTGAACACTTGATGCCCGGAGCCATGCCTCGGCGCGACCCGCGGCGCGGCGCGGGGGGCTGCGTTGGTGGCAAAAGGCGGGCGTTTGCGCCTGTGGAGAAAGAATGGTGTGAAGATGCTTGATTGGTGTGGAGGATGGTGTGGGTCTTGTTGTTTTTGTTGTATTTTTATGGTTTAGATCGAGAAGCCGCTTTTCAAAGGGTTTTCAGTCTGGGACTCATCCACCAGAGGACGCTGAGGACGGATGACGGATTCGCTGATTGCAGGACTTTGCCGCCTCGATCTCCAGAGTCCTTTCTGGACGCGGGGAGCGGGAAGCGGGTGAGGCTTGACCTCAAGCTGAGTGGATCGAGTGGCGGGGAGGGAGTAGATCGGGTTCAGTGTTATTAAATGAGTTTTTTGAAGGCAATCCTTTTTTAGAGGGGGGGTTCAGATATGTTTTGATGCTTACCCCTTACCCCTTTACAGTAACTTGGCAAAGAGAACACGGTCCTTGGACTCATTGATGGTTTTCCAGGGTGCTCCCTGGATGGCTTTGACATGTTGAACAGCCCTGTTGCTGGGGTAAGCAGAGTGTTGGGCGATGATCTTCCAGGAACACTGGGTCATGGATACAGGTTACGGGATCAACAGATAAACACTACTACGAGACTAGGGATAGTTCACATCCGGGTTTTCCTGGTGTTTGCCTATTTACTGCAGCGCTGTCCAAATTTGGAGTCAACATTATGAACACAAAAATGATCATCTCACGAGATAAACCACCTGCCTGTCGGTTTGGGATAGGGGGGATCCAAAGAAACAGATGTTAGATGTCTAGACGGCTGTTTGGAGGGAGCTGTTTGGAGGAGCTGTTTGGAGCGGAGGATATCCACTTTGTTGAAAGGAGCCATGGAGCTGAGTGTGGAAGTTCCCTAACCACAGAAGCTTTGATGCGATTCTGGCAGTGGTCAGCTTCAGCCGAGACTGAAAAAGGAGCTTGGACACAATATCGATCTTTTTGTTCTACCTTGTCAATTCATCAAGATGTCAGTGCTCCCGAAAGCTGAACACCTAGGATCATTCTCCTTAGCTGCTTATAACTTATAGCTGCTTAGCTGGTCCAAGTTCAGCGTCGGAACGTCCACTCATCACAGGGCCTCGATCAGCGTCGAGCAATCGGCGCTGAGCGGCACGGTGCCCACGACGGTGTCCCACCGCCGTCACGGACCACGGCGGCCACCCATCAGCGCCGTGAACGTCCGACGGTGCCCACCCCGCTTGGATCCATTGGTTCGATCACGAAAAGACCGTGTGTTTCCCTGTGCATGGATCCATGGGGTATCTTTATGGAGTTATAATGACGGGTGTTTTTTGCTGGACGGGGCTCTCATGAACCTCTCTGACCATCAGCAGTGGGGCATGGAGCTTCGCCGGGAACGTGATCCCTTCCACCCATTGTTGGCCCTCCAACGTCAAGCATGTTGTTGCTTGTTCATCTCCATGGCCAGAAACTGCGGGTACGCACATGAGAGGGGGCCTCTGCGGGTACTGGGGATGCTCAGTGGTGTGGGACATGTCCCAGACATGAAACTCGGCTTTCAGATGCCACTCTTCAATGGGGATGAATGATCATTCAATAAGTTCCATGACTTGAATTCACCTGGTGAATTCAACTGGGCAATGGGGAATGTACCTGGTGAATGACTTGATTCTTTCCCACAGTCACTACCATCCATGGCTCCTCATGTCACCATGTCATCTCGGGGTGCAGATTGCAGGGACAGGGGGTGATGAGCAGTGCATTGGAGATGGTGCTAAACATGGCTTGTTTTGTATTACAATGTGTTGTTTTTTTGCCGTTGAATTGATGTACTGAGTATAGGATGTTCTTTATGGTTCTTTCAATGTTCTTTCTCTAAGAGGTTGGTTGCTCATGTTCTCTTGGTATGTTGACTGGAGGAGACTGAGATGAGTAACCTTAGATGCTGAGGTCCCACCAGTTGATCCGTGCTGCACTCGTTTGAGGCAGCAAAGATGGGGCGATGTGGGGATGTTTGGCCTGACTCGGTATTCGGTTCTTGTCCTTCAGGATTCTCTAGGGCCCAAAATCAGAGAGCGGAAGGGATTCGAGTGATTATAGCAACTGCTAGCCCAGCTAGCCTCAAAAAATGCTTTGATTCGGCCTGTCCTGGCTAGAATCTTAAGGGGTTTCAACACGGTCGCTGGGTCCGGCATCCTTTGAAGATGCCGCCAGACGCGCTGAATTTTCCGCCTGGCGGATGCACGGAACCGGTCGGTCACGACAAACGCCTCGCTCGCCTCTAGCTCCCTCAACGGCGTTGGGCGCTTTCGCAAGCTCAGCGGTTTTTTTTCGCATCAGTCACACAGCGGTTTGTTCCACTGATTCTTTCGCTGCAATGTCTATGACGTCAAATAATCTTCCATACATCTTCCACGATGGGTCCGTCATCCGCGAATGGGTCTGCGCCACAGACCACTTGGGCCAAGGCGCAACAAAGAACAAAGGGCCGAAGCTGTCAGCTGTCATGGACGATGGGTGAGGGAGGCCGCCAAAACCACGGGGCCCTTTTGCTGCTCGTTCTGGTTGGGTGAATGAGCAGCATCCTGCGGAATGATGCGGAGTGTGCCTACTGAAGGCGATTTTCCTTGTGTATGCAGAAGATGCAGACATGCAGAGGTGTGAGGTGTGAGGTGCTAGGCAAGCTGCATAAGTAGTATAGGCATATAGTGCAATGTGCATTGGATCCTCATGTGGTACCAAATGAGAGCAGACCCCAAGCTTGATGCGCAAAATGCCCTTAATTCACCACTCTGTGAGCCACTATTCCCAGATGCTTGTGGTGTTGGTGATGAAATGTTGTGAATCTAGAGGCCATATCATCATACCATCATCATACCTTATCCCTACCTACCTATATACATGGCATGAAGCGGATTGGCTTTGCCTCGGAAGAAGCGGATTTCGCCTCGTGAAGATGGGGATCGTCATAGCCCGTCTTGGTACTTGATGGTACTGAAAGACTTCGAGAAACCTGTCACAGTACCCAAGAGTGGCAGTTTCTTTTGGAACTAGTTACTAGTTGCTTGGACAGGTGATGGGGCTGTAAAAAAGCAATCCTTTTGTCCTCCAGCCTTTGTCCTGCAGTCTCAGCCGGATAGACTCATCGATGGTCTGCTGAGTGAGGCTCCGTCAGTTATATAACATGTGGTAAGGAAACAACGACACCATCATGTTAAAACTGACAACCGGGAACAGAAGCCCACTCAAGTGCACTCCCTCTAAATAGGAGGTGAATATCTTGGCATACTTTTGGCACTCCGAATCGAAAGCAACAAGAAGCAAACAACAAATCGAAGCGAACAGATCGCTTCGCCTCCAGCGAAAGCAGCGAGCCACGAACAGATCGTTTCGGCGGCGAACAGATCGGCGTTTCGGCGGTCCGCGCCATGGGTCTGGGCCTTGGCGGGTAGCGGGTCGTTCGGAGACTGAAGGAAAGCATGTTTGAAGGTCAAAGCAGAGGCCGGTGAGCTTTTCCCCATCTCCTGCGCCTGAAAACTATGCTCGAAAGATGGATGGGGATGCTATTGATGATCCTTCAAACGTGGAGAAAAACGACGTAGTGGATCCAGTTTTTGCCTACGCAGGTGGTGTTAGTCGGGCCTCCATTTGATTCTCCCTCCGTTGGATTCATGGCGAAACAAGCGCGGCAGTCAGCGCTTAGCCTTGGTCATTGGTCCGGTCCGTTGTTTGTTTTTTCTTGTGGGCGATGTGGTTGAAACAGGTTGAAACAGGTTGACGCCATTTCAGTCAGGATTGTAGATGACAAGAGTTCATCACTCATCACCATGTTTGGTGACAGCGTCGAAGTTACCATCATCCACAGAGGAAGATGGTCAGCCGAAGATCACTTGGGCCGTTAACCCCACCCATCCCCACCTGGGGCCCCTCACATCAGCACCTGCCCAAGCTATCCCAAGCTACCACATGTCTTTCACATGAACCCCAAGCCACCACACCAAAACCACCGGCTGCCGGCCATGCTGTCCACCTGTCCCTGGTGCGCAGACCTCGGTCGCCGCCCGATGTCCCTCTCCCCAGGCGCCGTGGGATCAGCGACCGATGAGTGGGGCATTTGCAGGCCGAGGGGAACGAACATCGAACGAGGCGAAGGTGACGACAGGACTCCGAACGATGTCGACATCCCAAGAGGTGACGTTGACGGTGACTTGGGGGGGGTCCAATCGACCCACCCTTGTGACCCTAGAGTGAGCTGGTGGGAAGTGGAAAACTCTCCGAAACACGGGGTGATGGTAAGCTTCCGTTGTGCTCTTAAGTCTTGGTAAACTGTGCCGCAGCAGAAACTCGCACGCACACAACCAAAAAAGGCATAAACAGCCCGCATCATGTGGGTTAAACATTGTCAAACACGAGGTTCTGGACCACTTCCAGACTTTTCAGTAAACATTTCATACATTTTCATACCCTAAAAGCGGCTTACTGTGCTTTCAGCAAACATGGCTCGGATACACCCTCCCAAGCCGGAAAAAACTGTTCCTTTGGCTTCCGCGGACGAAGGCCCTGTGGTCGAGACGATGTTTGTCGTGAGGCGCGTGGCCGTCGTTTACGCGGCGGGTGAGAACAGTGATGAGCCAGTCGTTTCAAATTGGTAACCTTGATGTTTACCCTTAGGTCATCCTGTTTTTTGCTGTCGCACGATGCCATCCGCCCAGCAAGTGGGGATGGTGTGAAGATCGTCGGCGCCGTGCGTCATACTCAGCCGTTTGGTAATCCCACAGGTTCCAGTTGTCCGTTCTCAGCCGTCGCCGCATCAGATCGCCGTCCCCGCCATGGTCGCCGGACCTGGCCCCTGAGGCGCTGTGGGCCCGCGATGCCAATTCGCGTGGCTTGGGGTCCTCGACTCAGCGATGAAAAAGCAGCGGAGCAAGGCTTGTTTAGACAAGCTAGGCAAAATAGGACTCAAAGTGAAGAAAAAGTCAAATAAACTTCATCCACTTTCAGGGGAACATTTGGACACACGAAACGGATCGCAAAAACAAGAGTAACACATATTATACAGGGTGCCGCGGACCCCCATTGATAGAATGAGACTCGCAGGGAGTGATTTCCCCTCCAGGATTTTGTACTCGTTGTCAGGGGTCTTGTATGTGCCTCAGAATATCAAGACTCCGCATGTGACGATGTTTGTGGGAAGTGCAGGAAAGTGAACTCGCGACTTGCACGGTTCCGAGGATGAAAACATGTGAGTTGACACATGTCCTGCATCTGACCAGAATCAAATAAGTTGGACTTCCTGGAACCTCCAAACTCTGTTGTGGATGAGCTTTTTGACCCCAAAACCACTCAACCGCCGGGCTTTGATGGTGGGAGTTGCGAAGATCTTCAGCCCTCAGGCCACTGCTCCCTGCCTCCGCGTCCGGGTGGAACTCTGCGCCACCCGGTGGAGACACTGTCGGGTGGAGGCTCTCGTCTACTCACCTGAGCAGGTCGTGGCTCCATGTAGCATCATCTATCATTACCCTAGAAGTCCAGATTTACTAGTCTTGGCACCACCCAAGTCAAGGAAACTCCTTTTCCGATAACTTGACCGATTGAAAAAGGGTCTTGGACTCCCAGGGATCACCTATCACATCCTATCACATGTTTCGGCAAAAACTGTTGAACATTCCATCTGAAGCTGTCGGACTAGCTTGCGAGGAGCGTCGGACTTTCTCTTGCTGTGCTGGACCTCTAGCGGGTGCTGTTGGGTCGAATGGTTGCACTGAATGGTTGTAATCCACACTCATTTAAAGTAGGCCCGTGGGGATCCGTGGGGTTGGGGTTTGCAAAACAGTCGAAACCAAGCAGAAGGGGAGGGAGACCCTTAGGGCCGGAGAGTGAAAGAACCGAACTTGAGAGTCCGAACATCTGGCCGTGGTTGTTTGAAGAGTTTGACTTGGGAGGTTGGGGGAGGACCCGGGGTGGATGAAGGTCTTGTTACAGGTTTCGTTCAAGTTCAAGCCTGCCAGCTGAAGGCTATGTTGAGATTCGGTGCTGCTTTCCACGCAAAATGCTATGAGAACTTCCGGATCTTTCTGTCCTTTCATCAAACGGCCATGCAGACCGGTGCACGAATTCTGGTTGACGGGTCGCCAAGGCCGGGAAATTCGCTCCGGATCGGGTGACCCGTACGAATGGATTCGACGCGTGGCGAGCCACGCCTGTGGACGTCCGAACGGTCACGCCTGAGCCACGCCTGAGGTTGCTGAAAGGAGCGCGCGAGGGAGACCCGGTGCTGGTTCGGGAGGCGCAGATAGCGGACGAGCGGAGCGAGCTTTCTCAGCGGTGCAATGACATCTGGATTGGCCATTCAGCTGTGGTAGTGTCATTGCCTTAAGATGCCTTAAGGCAATGAATTTCGAACATTTGTGTACTATAAAATGAATATATGGAGAACAAAGGGGCAATGATGCATGTTCATTCAATCGTTATATGCTGTGTTGATTATTTATTTCTCCGGGACCCCGGGAGAAGTAATGGAAAACCATCCATACTAGCCCTCTCATGGCATCCCCTGGCAAGCCCTTGCCCAGCAATAGCTGATCGCTGCTTTTGATCGTTGTGACATGCTTTCATAATTACTCAGAATGCTGGCCCCAAACAACATCAAACATCGAAATCCCTTGGCAAAACTTGTTTTGACCCTAAAAGTGCAACGTACCAACAGGCAACATCACGTTTCTTTTGGGTCGTATCATATCTCGTGTTTGAGGGTACCAATAGGTCGAAGATGTTGTGGTAGTTGGTAGATCCAATCTCTTCACCCGATTCAGAGGTCATTGTCACTCTTGCAAGTGATGTTCAATTTGGATCATTTTAACAGAACTAGAACTAGACCATTACTGCAAACTAACTATAGTACTGTATTTGGACAGTGTTCCATGTTACCGTCAGAACTCGAACTGTCGCTTCAGATGACTCCGGGCTGGGAGCGTCTTCCGGTCTTTTTTTGGGGGAGCGAGCGTCACCGGACCGTCCATCTCCCCGGAGCCGGTGGTTGTGTTGTCAGGTGATGCTGGATTTGGTTCTTTTCGTTCTTCTTCATGTGAAATCCATCCGTTTCTGAAGAAGATTTAACCACCTTTTCCTGGCTCCGAAAAGGCAAATCCAAGAGGAAGTTCTGTTTGAGATAGTTGCTAGCTTCTAGCCAAACACAAGAGTCCAGTTTGATCCAACTCAGACATGATCTCAGACAGCTCCCAGCCTACCAGAATGTTGGGCTGCTGCAAGAGGCCCGTGCCCATGGCGTACGAACACAAAGCTGCTATCATGTGCTTAACAAGCCTAGTCTACCAAGCGCAGCATGGAATGGATCCCGGCATCCAGGTTCTTGACAGGGGAGTCTTTGGTCATAGCTAGAATACCTCTTGGCTACTCAAAGACCAGCTGGTATTGGATTCATACATGCTGGTATTGGCAGAAACTACAGACCCAGGCAAACCACAGGTTGATTACTTTCTTTTCCTCCGTGCATCCCGGAAGTGCGGGTCTTCTACGCTCTTTGATTGAGTACACACTGCACCACCTGAAAAAAGAAAGATGAAAACAGGTGCGATTGCTTTGATATTCCGGTGCTGCTTTTCATCCCAGACCCACTGGGATCATTTCTTTGCACACTTTGGCAAACCAACAACCCAATAAAATCAAAGGATCACTTCTCCGCAGGCATTAGATGCTGGAGCCTCTACAGAGACCAGGCCCGTGGCAAGAGCTGGCGGAGCGTGAGAGGTGAAAAGCTACAACTCAGGTTCTTCTCAGACAAGGGATGCTGACCTGTGACGTTTGGAGGTAAGGGGTTCCCGAACGAAATCGGTTCCTCTCTGGGAGGAAGATGGAGGGATGCAGAAGTTCTCTTTGAACCTTAGCTTGCTTCTGCATCCCATCCAATACTTCAGCGATGACTGGGGCCTTCGGCACGGATGCTGGCGGGAAAAAACCCATCGGTCCGGGCCTTGCGTGCCACACTGATGGTATGGGGCCGACAGACTCCCCAAAAAACCGGACAAATATATACTTTAAAGCTTGAACCAATGCACCAAGACAAACCTCCAAAAACCTCATGAAATACTTGTGGATCCGGAGTCTCAGCGCTCACGGATGATCCGCTGCTGTGTCAGTGTGTTTGTTCACAGATGGGCTGTTTATACCTGGTGCTGATACACAGCAAAGGTTCAGTTTCGTCGGACTTGGCGGAGCTAGCTCGGACCCCCGAACTCGTCTCGGCATGGTGTGCAGAGCCAAGGGAAAGCACTTCATTGAGCCTCGAGTGGCTGGGATGAAACGCTCTCAATCAATCATAGCGAAAAGGTTTTGGGCTGCAGGTTGGGGACAGCTTCAATGTCGGGTGCGTTTTGACAACTTGATGGCACTGGATGTCCACACCCGCAGGGCAGTGGCCAGCAGCGCAGTGAAGAAGGGGGTGGCTCAAAAGTGGTCGCCTCAGATTGAGCAGAGGCCGCCTCTCGAGGGAACTGAGTTTGGCAGGGGAACCGTCGACCTGTTCGCTGTGGCGCTATATCAAACAAGATCTGCGGGGTCACAGTCTTACCCCATAATATACTTTTTTTGTTTTCCGGTCACCGGTCCGGTCACCGGCCCGGTCACCGGCCCGGTCTCCGGCCCGGTCTCCGGCCCGGTCTCCGGTCACCGGTCCGGTCTCCGGTCACCGGCCCGGTCACCGGTCACCGGCCCGGCCACCGGCCCGGTCACCGGTCACCGGCCCGGCCGCCCCCCTCCCCCCCCTGCTCACCGGCCCGGCCCGGTCACCGGCCCAATCACCGGTCACCGGCCCGGTCTCCGGCTCGGTTCGACCTGGTCCCCCGGTCCGGTCACCGGCCTGCTCACCTGCAACTAGTCACCGGCAGCGGTCACCGGTCACTGGTCAATTGACACCAGGCCTATGTGGGAATTGAGGTAACCGCAAACCAATGTCAGAGTGTGAACCGCTCAGCCGTCCCACTTGGGTCCTGGGTGTGATCCTCCGCAAGGAGGCGCCGTTTTCATGCCGGAAATCGCGTTACTGAATCTTTGTCTTTTCATCGTGGATCACGTTAAATGCCCTTGTCTCACGACTGACTTGTCGGAATCCAAAAAGCCGCTGGGCTTTCACGGTGAACATAACCGCCGGGCTAAAAAACGGAATTCCACTTGAGGTCAGGCATGTTTCCCACAACCCTCCCCCCCCCCGCCGAGTTCTACTCCCCACCATTAGGGCAACGCAGGGAAATGGTACTCGACACACTTGTGTGTCGGTGCCTTTCCCGTTGTTGTTCCTGTTCTAGTCTTCTCTACCCGGGCGGTCGAACACTAAAGTCCCGCTCCCTAACTATTGCACGTAATTCGTTTCTGCTAAGTAGTCAGTAACCCTGGAGTGCTAGGTAGTCATACACACACACACGGACACACACATGCCACATACATCCCCTCCCTGCCCCCCGCTTTCTTTCTTACGTTTTGGTCGTTTCTTGGGCTTGCTCTCAGGCTTTTTAGGTTGTTCTTGCGGAGCGTTTCCCTACCCCAGTCAAGGGCTAAGTATTCATTTTTAACTTTTCTACTCTTATCTTTCTCTCTTGCCCTCTTAGCGCTGCTCTTTCTGTCTTTCTTTCTTTTGTTTCTAAGGCTTTTTTGGTATCTATTCAGGCCTTCCACGCGAGCGCCGCCAAGCGGCACCGTGTTGTCAACCCCTGTCTCCAAGGGTTCCACCTCACAATTTCCACTGTTCAAGCAGGGGGATGGAGAGGACATGTGAGGCTCCATCCAACGAAGCTCCTCACATGATCCTAGGGTATCGGCAAGGACGCTTGCCGACGTACCAGCGCAAGAAACTTTTGCTCACGCTGTCCAATCTATCTTTTTGTTTCCATGGTGGTTCATGCTACCTCCCATAAACCATTTTCCGTCCGCCACTTTCAGCTGCTGTGCGTTTCGTGAGCTGCAGACAAGTGAACATTTTGTTCAACATTTTATTTGCGCTGACCTTTTCACCTGGCGTTTCCCTCACCTTCCTTCTCGACGTGGGAATTGAGTTAACTGCAAGCCAATGTCAGAGTGTGTGTCAAAGCTACTCCGGCTTTGAGTTGATCAATGGCGATAGCAACACATCATGTTTTTTTACTCCTTTTGCCGTCATTGTGGGTGGGGCCATGGGAAGGGTCCAAATAACAACGACCCGACAGCTGTGCTTCCACATAACCCTTCGTCTCTAGTGGAGACCTGCAAGTGGCAAAAAACCCACGGACTCAACCAGCTAGGACTGACTGGGCCACCAGCGTTTTGAATTTCAGAGTTTTCATTCCCTGAGTAGAACCCAAAGCGTTTGGAGGTACTTAGACTGTCCTGAAAGATCATCATCATCATCATCATCATCATCATATTTTGGCCAAGTGAGACCTTTCCGAATACCCCATGACAAGGGCCCAAAAAAGGTCACGCATTGAAGAACAGACGTCCTACCACGATCCTAGGATTCCCACCAGACATTTTACATGTTTTGACATGGCATTTCCCACACGGGGGTGAGTCAAGTTGAAACGGCTACATCTTTCTCTAAATTCTACCTCTGCATGGCCCACAAAAGGGTGCGTCAAGTTGGAATGACCACTTCCTTCTGTAAATTTACCCCTGCATTGCCCACACAAAGGGGTGAGTCAAGTTGAAAAAGCAACATCCTTCTCTAAATTCTACCCCTGCGTTGCCCTTGCGTGGCCCACAAAAGGGTGAGTCAATTTGAGGGCCACTTCCTTCTCTAAATTTTACACCTGCATTGCCCACAAAAGGGTGAGTCAAGTTGAAATGGCAACATCCTTCTCTAAATTATACCCTCGGGTGGCGCACCACAGGGTGAGTCAACTTGGAATGGCCACTTCCTCCTCTAAATTTTACCCTCCACTGCCTCACGAAAGGGTGAGTCAACTTGGACTGACCACTTCCTTCTCGAAACTTCCCCCCTGCCCTGCCCACAAAAGCGTGAGTCAAGTTGGAACAACATCCTTCTCTAAATTTTACCCCTGCCTTGCCCACAAAAGGGTGAGTCAAGTTGGAATGGCAACATCCTTCTCTAACACAAAGGCTGAGGCAACTTGGAATGACCACTTCCTTGTCTAAATTTATCCCTGCATTTCCCACACAAAGGGCTGGGTCATGTTGAAATAGCAACATCTTTCTCTAAATTTTAGCTTTGCGTTGCCCACAAAAGGGTGAGTGAAGTTGGAATGACCACTCCTTTCTCTAAATCTTTCCCCTGCATTGCCACTTTTTAGGGGTAAGTGAAGTTGAAATGGCAACATCCTTCTCTTAATTTTAGCCCTGCATGGCCCACCAAAGGGTGAGTCAACTTGGACAACATCCTTCTCTAAATTTTACCCCTGCATGGCCCACAAAAGGGTGAGTGAAGTTGGAAGGGCCACTTCCTTGTCTAAATTTTCCCCTGCATTGCCCACATAAGAAGGTGGGTCAAGTTGGAAAGGGAACATCCTTCTCTAAATTTTACCCCTGCATTGCCCACAAAAGAGTAAGTCAAGTTGGAGTGACCACTACCTTCTCTAAATTTTACCCCTGCATTGCCCACATAAACGGGTGAGTCCAGTTCGGTGAGTCAACTTGGAATGGCA